AKRRKAAMMGMRRTTTTTTRSGGMTRRTTWAWTRKWATGATGAGGGGTTCTTTAAAACAGGAAAAAACTTTTTGGGTTGGCAAATTTTAAGGCGATCTTTTTTTGGTGAAAAGTAGAGGTCCTTCAGCTGAGTTTTGTAAAGCTTGTGCGCTCAGATTTACGTCAAAATCAGACATTTCAGAACGTTAAAGGGATAAGACCACTGGAGCGCTAAGGGTAAATGTTTGATAACTATAAATTCCCTGTCCATGGAATTGAAATCGAAGCGGAGAAAAAATGCAGCAACCAATTTTTTTTTTCGATTGCATGTCTTTTACCCATCTGCACCCTGGCGGATATTTTCCCTTCCGTGCAAAGAGTCTCAATTAGAACTATTGGAAGCGGCAAGTCTGTCGCTATCGGCAAACCAAAGTAACACCGGGCCGGGCGGCTCCTTTCGATGAAAGTCACGTGACTGTTATTGGGCCTCATTGCGTCACCTGGTAGGCATTATTACGATGTATCTATTGATATATGAACATAATGTGACGAGTTGAAGGCGAAGGTGACTTTCCATGAGATAAGTCGCTGGGGAATTAGAGCGTTCGTCGTCAAGGATCGACGAAATAATTTTTCCTTTTACAAAATGGTGGACAGTGAACCAGAACCATATTAGTCGACCATCCAAACCACACTCCTTGCCACACTTCTACTCGTCCTTGTATTCGGTAACTCTGTCATCTGTATGCTTGTTTGGAATTACAAAAATTTGCGCACTTACGCCAACTTTCTCGTCGTCGAGATGGCGCTGGTCGATTTTTTCAGCGGGGTCATTAATATCCCGATGTTCATGTGTTATCAGATTTATCCCTCTCCCTTTCTAACAGGTCGGACGCTGGCGATAGTTTGCCTGTTTTTACGCAGAGGTTTTCTACTTCAAAATGCGCTGTCAGTCTCAACTATATTTTTGGATCGTTATTTTGTTCTCGCGTACGGGCTGAGATAGACTTCGTGGAAAAGTAGAAGAAAGCTTTTCGGGATAATAGCTTTAAAATGGATGATAGGTATAATTGTAGTTGGGGGAAATATTCTGTTTCATACGGATTTTGAAGACATAGGTAACGCCCCGATTGCCGAGTAAATCTCACAATACGAAAACAGAGGGATTTTGCCTTTTCCAAGAATATTTATTACATTATTATTACATTTCCAAGAATAATTCTACCAATGTTTCTGATCTTTCTTTGTACTGTTTTATATCTCAGCTCGAGAGAGATAAAGAAAAACATCACTTTTAAGAAAGGCTTGAAAGGATACGAAACAAAACGTTTTTAAGATCTAACAGCGCTGAAAACAGTTCAATATATTATTCTTTGCTACACAATTTGTTTTATGCCCGATGTAACACGAAGCGTTTTGCTGCTGACAACTTTTAAAACAGTTGAACGTTGGCTTGTGTTTAGCGCGTTTTTCTTCCTGGTCGTAACAAGTGCAGTTAACGTTGTTATCTATTACATTCGGACGGAACGATTCCGCCGCGCGTTCATGCTATTTGTCTCTAATCCTGAGACAAAAAACGAGGTCTTTGAGCTAAAAACGTACGAACGGATTATTCCAAAGCTTGTTCAAGAAGCAAAGATGATATAAGAGACAGAGATCCCAACGGATAGGCCTATAGAAAGTCTCGTTCCGAATAAGGCGTGTCCTACGACAACAGACTCTAAATCCAGAGAAACAGATGAGTTTAGTGTATTTGACGAAGATCTTCAGTGTTGGGACACTAAACTGTAATATCGCAAGAAAAAGAAATGCTCTCTTTGCTAGCTTGCATTGAATGGATAAACGTTTTGAGAAGAGAGCAAAGCCCATTAATTATTTATTTATAAACGGAAAATGACAATTATCATGCCTTTATCTAAACATCCTTGAGTGAAAGAAAAAGGAAAAAGATGTAGAACAGTAAAAAATGAACTATTCACCCACATGGACATCAAAGAAGAACGCTCTACAAAGCAGAAGAGACTTTTAACAAGGCAACAGACCAGGATCTATTTATATTCAGTGCAAGATATTTTATTTTCACTCTGGCATTCTAGTAAACAACTTCTGATGTTTGAGTAGAATACAATGCAAAAACTTTCAAGGGAAATTCGTAGTTAAGAATTACTGATTATTCGAAGAAAACATTGTTATTATAATTTCATTAGGTTATCTGTCAATTTTGATTATGTACATTTGGGTCAAAACAACCGAGTGTGAAACGAGACATGGTTGCATGGTAACTTTTTATTGAAGAGAGGAGTCTTTAAACTACGATTTGCAGTCTGTCTTTATTTCTGATATACGGAAAGTGAAAAAAATAAGCTTCTTTTTTCTTCTTTTAAGTTGTTAGGTTATGTAGCCGTACAAAAATCAGTGTGTTTGGACAGCCGTTTCACGGTCGTTTTTAGTCATTTGCATATCATATTTTGGCATCGTTTAATAAACACCGTTTAACGCGTTGAAATACGCTGTGTATTTCATTCATTGACACTTGAGATCAAGAGTTAAAAATTTTGTATCTATATCCGAAGAAAATCCTCTATTTTCTCCATAGATCATAGAATACACACAATCATACAGGTACTGGAATGAAGGGGTAAAACTTATAAAAGAAGAAATGAAAATACAAGAGATCAACAGCAATCCGACACGAACCTGATGTGACACACGGCTTCTGTTTTGGCCAAATGTCAGTGACACTACTGAGCTAATCTTTGTTTTGAGGTGCGAAACCGTGAAATTACTGTGTCACTGAGCATCATGGAGCTGGCTGGGGCAGTATATGGCCTCTACAGCCAAATTATAGAGCGATGTGTGGCAGAAAAACGAAGCGACGATTTAGAATTTACTGAAATTTAACGAAACGAAATGCAGTGTAGTGTGGTAAAATGCAGTGAAACGGAGTAGAATAAGGAAAGATAAAGTTATGTCAGTCATAGTTTTACTGAAATAAGATGCGGATGTTGGATGAGTTATCCGGACTAAACAAATATTAACGTTAACTGGAAATGAAATATAATGTCCTAATATCATCGCAATCAGGGGTGTGCCAGGATTTTTTAAAGGGGGTGGGGGGTGGGTGTCACACTGTGTCAAAAAGAGAGTTCTCGTTAGTTTTCGCAAACTGAATATTTTATAGGTTTTATGACCAGTTAAAAAAGGCTCACAAAGGAACGAGGTCACGGGCATACCAGGAACCCCTAATCATGAAATTACACTAAGGTGTGATATGTGGGTTGAGTTTGTCGTAAGTTCCTGCCTTTCCCCCAAGTTTTTTTCACCAATTTCATTGTTTTTCGTCCCTCCACTAAAGACCAAGACATCAAATTCCAAGTCGTGCTTGAACAGTGTTAGATGAGCCAGCTCTAGGAGATACTATCGCTAAAAACCTCCTTTATTGAACCATTTCCTGATGTGTTTTTCAGTATTGTGCGCAATAACTCATCCTTGTTATGGACGAGAAGGTCTGGGAAAGAAGAGGGGTAGGACAGGAAGGATGAGGATCACGGATTGGACATGAGTGTGTGACGCAAGGGTCGAAGTGCATTTTGGTTTAGGGTTCTTGACCGCGCGTCAAAGCTACTACAGTGCTCCTGGAGGGCGGACGAAGGTGGCATGTGAAACGCCGGTTTTTCGTCACGTTTAGTGTGGAGCAGAAAATATTAACCCTTGACGATTTCAAGAAAATATGTTTATCAACTGAGTTGATAATGTAAATTAGCCACCATAAAGAGTTCTTAATGCAGACGCTTCGAGCGCAGCCCATCATCAGAGTGAATAGAGGAATGGTGGTGTGTTTATATGCAGAAAAATGGAGCTGAGTATTTTACTCGAAGTGTTGTTAAGTTTTTATTTGGTCAAAGTTAGTGGAAGATAATATTACAATTGAAAGCATCACACCATGAATTAGCTATCATGTCTATGACCATAAAACATGCATTACTCTGCCTCACCGTAAGGTAGCTTAAGCAGTGCCTCTTGACGGTCGACCTCTAGCTGTTTCAATGTGTTGAAGAAAACCTCTTGACCTGATTAAGAAATCGGAAGGGATAGCGCCATAATTTAGGATAAATACAATTTTTAAGCCTATAAATTTTAACCCTCGTATTTCGCGATCTCATAGATATTTAAGATCCCGAAACAAAACGACATTCTAGGCTATCCTACAAGAAATGTTTACAATGAAATGAAATTTCGAAAAATCTTAGAGGTATGATTTTTATTCAATAGGTTGAAAAGATATCAGTTGAAGATTTAAAGACGTTGGTTCAACGAGAGGATGGAAAAAAAAATTCACAGGAGCAGGGAAAACATTAAATTCAAAACCCTCGTAACACTATTTAGTAATACTTTATCACTAATCCCCAAACATCACCGAAGTATTTCATCATATGAATTTTTTAGGTTATTTCATTAATTTTTAAATTTATTTAGAGGTTCTTTGGCATCAATAGGCTCTGTAGGCACAAACTGGGATAATATCTATCAGTTATGATTTCAATTTTATGACTTTGATTTTAACAAGACAGTGTTATAAGCCCCGTCAATTCTTATTTACTGAGGGTCGCACCTGGAATCAGTTCAAATACACCCATCAGAAACGCATAGAAAATCAGTGGTAAAAGGGGACAACTTCAGTAAAAGACTTTTTTTTGTTTTTGATTCTACGTTAACCTGTGTGTTTTGCAGAGGAAGTCTGAATACAAGTGAAAAGGTGGATGTGCGGTTAACTCGAAATATACGGTCTACAGATAATTTGGTTTTATCAAGTGAGATTATAGTGTAAATTTGGCCACAGTCCTCAGGGCGAAAGACGAAGGACTAATGCTCGAAAGATTAGCTCTTTACGATGGCCGATTTACCAACAACTCGGTTGATAATACCAAATTATTTTGTGATACCCCGCAACACCACAGTTTCTTTAACATGGTTTAGAAGTCATGCGCTAATATTGTGCATTGTGCGTTATAACTGTACGAAGAACAAGTCGAGAACAAATCTTAGTCAGTGCAATTGCAGCTTCTCTTACAATCTTTTAAGTCAAAACTATCAAACTACGGCTGAAAAGAGCTTATCATTTTGGATCGATACAACGCATTTTTGGCCTTACCCGTCGTCATCCCTTCATGAAACAGCATCAGAAAAAATGAGGTAAAGAAGAGCTTCATTCTTCTATATGTGGGCACTCACCAGATTTTCCAAAACCAAGTACAAAATTTAATGTATCGCCTAAACCGCTACTCCTAAACTGAACAAACAAATGCACGAAGTGTCTTTTATGATGACTGATTGATCAGAATTTGTTTACAGTTCTACCTCGTTGTGTTAAACTTTTCATGTTTTTTTTTAAGTTAGCGAATTGTCCAACAGAAATGCTGCCCTGTCAAACACACGTCAAATTATGTAAACAATTCTTCCTGATTCCGGAGATAATAAAAGGCAATTTTTAGTCCGTGCAACAGTAAATTGTGTTTTTGTTTGCTTCTTTCAAGGCTCAAAGCAAAGTGTGCTCACGTCTTCGGTATATAGATTTTTGGATCGCGTAGAAATGCTGGTTTTTATTTAATCTTTCTATTTGTCATTCTTCCTCTCATCTTTATCACCGTTTCTGGAACGCTTTATACCAGTCAGACAAAAATGGATCCAAGAACAAAATGAAAATCAATTTAAGCGAGAAAACCTTTAATTAGCTATTTATCAAATTGCAAGAAGAACGCGTCAACTATTCAAGCAAATAAACAATTTCCTTATTGGCTTTAAATGTTAGTTTTTGTAACTCTTAACAAAAAAACTTTTTCTCTGATTTTCTCTCCCACATGAATTTTTCTTTTTCAATAATCGAGGGTATCGTTGTCGTCTTTGGATAAACATCTTGCTATAAAATGAGGGAAACTTTAAGTCGAGCTTTGAAGCCATTTAGTGATGTTCCTTACAAAGGGATTATGCAGGGGATTTTCCTATCAAAAATAACCCCTCCTTCCCATTCTTGATGTGTGGAAATACCAACCTTGTACTGGGAAGAAATATCGACAACAACTTCTATTAGACCGAGATTTTTATTTCATATTTTACAAAAATTTTTTTCAATAAAGCAGGTTCAGTAATCATGATGACTAATTCAAAGAGATCAAAAGTACGATCAATAAAAGCAATGTAAAGCCTTTAGATTCATCACTTTTTTTAAACATAATTTTTCAATCATTGTCTTAGTTCTGTCCGTCTTGTTTGCCATTTCTTAAAAATTCATTGGAGCTTTGATAACTATATGAATTAGAAACGGAAATTGGGAAAGGGTACTGTAAGATTTCAAGTTTGTTTTGAGAGCTCCAAATTCAGACTTTTCATATACCGACTAGATTTGACATTTAAAGGTATAACTATTCATAATCATTTCCAATCGTATTTCCCAACATCTCTTAGCCGAAGCAAGATATGATTAAATCCATGAGGATGGAAAAAGGACCGTATTAAATCAAACACAATTCTCTGTCCTTTTCTCCTTCTTTTACAGTAAAACTTCAACTAAATTCAGTAATATTACAAAAGAGCCGATTCTTAATGAAAAACAAAGATTACTTTTCCGTGCCACTCAGTACTACGCAGTGTTTTCACACAGGCAGATGTCTGTACAAACTGACGTGTGAAAACTTAAATAGAGATTTTTATTTACCCATCAAAAATTTAGCCTCATTTGTTTTCTACCTTCATTCCTATTCCGCACTTTAAAGTCTTTGAAAATGATTTGCGCTATTTTGATTTTCTTCGTTTTTCCCGCTACTTTTTCAGGTAAGTGTTAATTTCGCAAAAACTCCTTTTCAGAGGCTAGCGTATTGAAGACAGAAGTTAGAATTCTACATGAGGAAAATTCAGAATTTTGCGTCTTCTCTAGACTAAACTGAGTTTGTAACCAATCTGTAAATTTACTTGACATAAGAACGTTCTATTTCAAAAGTTTGATAAAGTAGGTAATTGGTTTAAAAGGATAACACCCTATGGGAAAGGTAGGTTATTGGGTAGAGAAAGATTCTGGAATGAAAGAAGTCACATGAGGTTTGCATTTCACATTTCACATTTCACATTTCACATTTCACATTTCTATTATCACCGAGAGTACAACACGAAAACCCTCACAATTATCGGCCTATCCGGCGGCAACGTTTTGCAAAAATTCGGTTAAAACTGATTTTAGTTAATATTCTTGCATCCTTCGTATCGAGTGACATTCAGCTGAGTAAATGGGATTGTATATTCCTCTACCTTCCTTTATAAGGCTTTTATGACTAACAATCAAAAGCTTAAAATGTTTCCTTTTCCCTTCCCTCGTCCTCGCTGCTTGTCCGTTGACCTGTTTGTGACTAAAAATTTCAGGCCAAGCCATAGATGGTTATAATTATGTTATACTTTAGTTAAACGGTTTTATCCTGGGACTGACACTCGAAATATTTCGTAGAAAACTAGTCTCTCTCAATATTTTCACAGAGGATGTCATTAGGCTTGTACAGCCGCCTAATGCAACCTACGTGGGCCAAGGTCGAGTGGAAGTACAGCACCAAGGGACCTGGGGCACAATTTGTGATGATAAATGGTCGTTTGAGGACGCTACAGTAGTGTGTGAGCAGATGGGCTTCCTAAAAGCTATTTATCAGGCAAGGTTTTCGTTGAGTCATTATCTATCGCCGGAATGGGGGGNATAATTGCGTTTTTAGCACCTGACGCGAACGAATCTATATTGGAGTAAGGTTTATGGGAAAACAATCTGAATACCTCATTCGAGTACCATGAACCATCTTATTCAGAGAGTTTCGACAACTTGGAGATAACGAAATGCTATCAAACCTAGATATTTTCTAAGTTTCACTAGTGGATGGCTGAATTTCTGTTTGATGCCGTGGTATTTCTCTCATTTCAATCTCAGGAGGAGTACCATCTGGTTGCCTTAGGTGAAAAATCTCCACAAAAGCTTGCCTTATGTTTTGAGTGCGCCAACAGTAAATTATCGGATTTGAAAGAGAACCTAGTAGGCTGAGTCCTGAAATGCAAAACATCAAAGCACAGGCATGTCGAGTTTCTAGGATGTTTGGAATAGCTGCTAGTATGAAAGGTATTGAGATTGGAAAATAAGTCAGTATCAACGTCCCTAAGATCATTGATAGTGTGTAGACTGCCTTGCGGTCTTTCTTTATCCTTTAGGCTTCCTCGTTAGATGCATGTTCTTCTTCAGGGCGTTTTATCTGTCGCCTTGTTTCGGAGTAAATATAACCACTACAGTAGAAGATGGAAATAATACAGATCAAAAAGAAAACAGCAGTCTCCAAAGTACCTAGCGTCCAAAATAGGGCGTATATTTTAGTTCCAACGCGTGTAGTAGCTAAGATGATGTCTTGAAATATAAAAAAGTGTTGAAATTATCCAAGCCAAAAATACAGCTCTCCTTATCCGCCATGTTGTGACAATTTCCTGGTACCTTAAGGGTTCCTTTATGGAGATGTAGCCATCGATGCTGATAAGCACGAGGTGTGTCAACGTTACAAAACCTTAATTGTCCAACAAAAAGGACAACGTATGATGCACGATCCTTCGCAGAAGATAGCGCTATTTATGCAATAGCAAAAATCAGACCCGAAAAAAATATCAGGCCTGTACGGGATTCGAACCACTGACCTCTGCGATACTAGTGCAGCGCAGAGGTCAGTGGTTCGAATTCCGTACAGGCCTGATTTTTTTTTCGGGTCTGATTTTCGCTATCGCATAAATAGCGCTATCTACTGCGAAGGATCGTGTATCATACGTATTTAATACCGCAGTTCAAAATATATGAACTTCATATATTCATTGCAACCAAAAAGGACAACGTAAGCTGTTTCAAGTGCAAAAAATGGCCACATGCCGAAGGCTCTCTTGACGTTAACAGCGATTGCACAGGGATGAACAACCAGTCCCATCAACAAATCAGTCCCCGCCAAGAAGGCTAAAAGTATATTTGACTTGGTTTGCAGTCGACGCTTTGTCGCCACGGCAAAAATGACAAGAGTGTACAACAGGATGGTTAAAATGGCTGCCAGAGAGTGGAAAGATATTGCTGTAACCAAAGTTTTAAAGATGGTATCTGTTAGGTATCACAATTGCCACGAATAATCTTCTAGATACTAACATTTATCTTGGTCCGAAGAGTTTTTGGAACGAAAGCGCTCATAAATAATGGTAATTTTGCAGTAAATGTTTTCTATGTACACACAATCAACATTAACTATGAATTCCCATCCTTTTGGCGAAAAAAAAAACATATAAAACATTGTATATCCATGGATTTTTATTCGTTGATTGGTGGGCTTGATGAACGCTTCCTTTCTTTTTTAAAGGGAACATTATTCAATGCGCTGGTCTCAACACTTTGACAATACTTCTTTTATTTGGGGCATCCTCATTCGATCCCGTTGGTTTTCGCCTGCCATTTTCCAGTTAAATATAATATTGCAATAACCAAATAGAAAATTGTACCATCTTTCTTTGTGCAGTCTAATTCTGCACATGTAAAACGCCTTTAACGATGGAGATCGTCGCAACACGCTGGAAGCTTGTCATATGTGAACCTGCTAACTGGCTAATTGGCCTGCCCTCTCGACAAGTTTCTGTCTCTCAATTTTTAAAGCATCTGATAGCGATTTCTGATGTAAGGGCCAAGCACAGGACTTAGATCTTTCTTTATCCCATGATAGTGATAGGTCTATTTTTTCTTTTTAAGATTTATGTCTTAATCGAAACAAAAGTTTATCAGGCGATCCATATCGGCAATTAGATCTATCACTTAAGGGTTTAAAATTCAAGTGACATTCCTTAGTGAGGCTCCATAAAAAAGCATCTGGAAAATAACCTGCCCAATTGACATAGATTGGAAATTTGAAAAATTTTGTCTTTCTTTAATTTTATTTCACTGCTGATTAATTTTAGATCGATATCATGGTCTGAACTGTGGGATGATTTCCTTTTAAATGGACCCAAGGGAAACAGCTGCTTGGTTACATTTGCAGAATGATCGCCAATTAAATTCTATTATAATAGAACGACGAGGTTTCAATTTTTTTTCCACGAATGGCTGTCACTTCTGACAAACACAGATGCGTCTCAGTTGGGGCAAAAAATTTCAAGCGAACAAAAAAGCAGTTTTATTCAGATTAAAAAATCTTCCTCTCCCATTTACCACTAGTCATTATATTTGAAATGGTTTCTCCAATTTTGAGATGACGAAACGACAACAAAATCAGTTCTTGTTCCACCGCGGTCTGTGAAAAATCTTCTCCAAAAGACGGCTGAATCTCTGTCCGATGCCGTTGTATTTCCATCCTATCGATCCCTTGCTAACTATTTTCCAGTTTTCCAAAATTTAAAAAATAAAAGAGCTTGCCTACTGTTTTAAATGAGTACGCCAAGAATAACTATTCGTTAAAAAAATAAAGAGAACACAATAAGGCGAAAACCACGATCCAACTTCTCAAGTAGTCGTAAAAGCTGTCGGAATTAGATATATAATCATGTGCAAGTAAGTCAACAGTTATGTCCCTGAAATAATTGCCAGCGACTGTGCTTCCTTGAGCTCTTTCGAGTTTAAGCTTCCTTGCTGTAAAGTCTGTTCGGTTTCGAGGCCTTTTTTCTGACTCCTTATTCACGACGAGATCTACACATAACAGGACTCGAGACGGTAACAATATTTCCAGCAGACCAGAAAGAAAGTAATAATTGAAACGCCACTCAGCGTTGAATAATTTGAGCACAGTTTTCGTCGCTATCTCCCGTTGCCATAATTAATTTTCAACTGTTCCAATTGCTGAAATCACTCAGGCCGAAACGACAACTTTCCTGGTCCCCGCACAGTAATTTAGAGGCGACGGAACGTTTTGAAACACTTATATTTCATCGAACCAAGCGCATACACCTAATGAAATTTTCCAAAATGCTCTTTGCGTTGTTCGTTGGCACAAGCAAACGTCTTTGCAATCTTTACAGTTTTAGAGCGCGTCCGCAATCGATTTGTGACTTACTTTTATTTTATCCGGCCGACAAAGTCTAAATTCTTTCAGCTAAGCATTTTATTGGGTTCCCACCGCCAAAATTAAACCACGTCTAATTTCCTAGACGCACTGTCTTGTAAAATGGAATTGCTGCAGCTGATAAGCCTCTCGAACATGAGCCGGAGCCGTTCAAAAAAACGTTTGTGCAAAATATTATTTCGCCGGCCAAGCGCGATACTATTAGAAGGATTTGTGAAAAGATCCCGAGATTGAATATTTTGCCAATTTACATGCTACGTTAGCAATATTTTCGGCACCAAATCGTGGGGGAAATGCGTCCTCCATTTTTTTTTTGAGGGGAGGGGCTACGGCTCCTTCTACCCCCCTGCCCCCCTGCTCCGCTGCCTTTGTAATTCGACGATTTCCAAGAGATCCTTGAAGGCGATTTTTCCTAAGTGTTCAACACGCACTCTCGTAAAGATGTTCCCGACATTCTACTACGGAACTACCGACTTCCTTCGACGTTTGCTGACCACGTAAACCGGGAAGAGAAACTGCTGACCCTCGGTGCCTGCTGAATACAAACTTAAAAGCCTGAAAGAAGTCCCTTTTCATGAAGGTATATAGTAATGGATTGGCTACAGATGTTGCGTATCGGACGATCAGTGATACTTGAGAAGGTAAAAGCAACTTAGAGGAGTCAATGGACAACTGGTGCAATAAAAACACTACAAACCAAGGGAACCAACATATCAGGTATACAGACGCCATTATGGCGAACAATGCTAATGATTTTCTCTCAGAACTTGACTGATTACGGAAGCTTGTAGGGCGTCGAATCATCAGCACTCCGCCACTCTCTTTCCGATGCAGACTCTTCGATCGACCATTAATACCTTTAAACATATCAATAAATGCATAGACCAAGAAGATGTAAGGCAAAATTAAAGCAAACACAATACAGAATATCGAAAAGGAGAGCGCGTAACTCGAAGATTCTGGTTTAGGCACTGGATATATTCTACTGAGCCATGTGAAAGGGAGAAAAGATACAACCAGCGAGGATAGCCACACGATTATTAAGACGATTAAGATGCTCTTCTTCTGAAGCACTCGATGTTTAAATGGAGCCTTAATTGCCAAATAACGCTCTCCTGTCACAACAACTATGTGATACACAGTAGCAATGGCCACAAAGTTATGAAGGACAGTCGAAACGAAACCAAGATAAAACGTTATTGATCCACTGGGTTGTATCAAAGGCGTTAAAAATAGGAAGGCGAATAGTGGAATGATTATAAAACCGCAGAAGAAGTCGCAAACAGCCAAGCTGAAGAGAGGGTAGTTTGAAGTGGTTCGCAGAGCTTTCTTCTTAAAAAAGAGATAAAACACTGAGCTGTTGATTACAACGATAGCCGCCGCAAGAGAGAACAACAATGCAAGAGCGACTTTGTTTGTCTCTTTAAATTGACTCGTTGGTTTCGTGGAATTTACTGTCTCGTTGGAATAAGACTCGTGGATTACGGTGTCCATTGCTTTAGCAGTAGGATACGTTAAATACTGGTACTGTTTTGCAAACTTCAATTCTTCTTATAGTAAATAAAATTAGTTGTTGGTGTTGTTCTGGATTCCTCGTGCTTTTCTCGTAGACTTGAATATGCCGGCTGAAAGACAAAAGTTTATTATTCAATTTGCCGAAACTAATAACAGCTTTTCGAACAGAATAATCATGTTGCATCTTTAAATTTAATTGGTATCCGTTACGAATCACTGCCTCGCTACGTTATTACTTTATGCAGATTGCTGAGTTGAGTTCTTTACTGGTAGTACGCTCAAAATAATGTAAGCATGATTTTTCCCCGCCTTCTTTGCCTTATTAAGGTCGTGTTGGCCTGTGTTAGCTGGCGTTCAGCAGTCTCGTTTAATTCCTTTATTAAATTTGCACTTACAATTAACAGCTTTATCTTCACATCTTGGCAGGTGATTGGCTCAAGGTGGCTGTCGGTGCAAACATTATTGAACACTTTCGTTAACTAATACTAAATCTCCAATCAAGGTTAAGGATATACTTGGGATTCCGGTAATTAGTGCAAATGGCGGCAATGCTTAGGTTCTGCGCATGCCCAGACAAAAGCATTTTCAAAATGTTCGTTTTCGTCTGAAGCAAAATGAAGCAAAATATTTTCAAGCGCACCAACAATTGCATCTTGTTCTAAGTTGTCCACTCTACTGCATTTGAAAACGCGTATATTTCCATGCAATTTTGTCCATAACCCTCAAAAAGCACTCGGAAACGCGGACCAAATCTACTTTCTTTACCGTATTTTTCGTCAATGTTTCATAATCCTCATTTCCATTTGTCCACAATAAATAAAAATTGTTTTTAAAAAGATGCGTTTATCACATCAGCTCACTTCGGTAAGGCTTCGTTTTCGAGCGTTTTAGTGTGGATGACAGCCAGAAACGAATCAGAAAGTATGGTTTTCTGAACGAATACGATTCAGTCTAGATAAAGACGACGATTAATCTCTCCTTTTCTGCAAAATTCGTGGCGTGAGTACAAAAAAATCAGTGTACAAAGAAAATTCTGTTAGCGCGCCGCACATAACTCTCGGAGCTATAACTTACTTCCAGTGTTTCGCTCGGCTCTACCGTTTGTATTTGTCGCTTATTTTTTCTAGACTCGCGCAACGGACCCCGTAGAAAAGGAAAGACTCCTCATAATTTAGTTTGGATGGGGCCTCAGTCCTTTCCCCAAGAAAATGTTAAGCCACGATATTTATTAATATCTTGTAAATTCCAATGATTTTATTGCGGGCTATTTTTCCTAGTAATTTTAAGTTGTCTATCTCTTTATGTTTATTTTGGAAAAATCGTCCCTGGAACCGATTGGAAGTAAAGAAAAGACGATTATTCCAAGCGTGCAATCATGTGAATCTATTGAATATCATATATTTCAACTGCGAACAGTTAAACTAAGATAGTGTGATCTTCGTAGTAATGAACACTACTTAGGCAGTAGATAAAGAAAAAAGGCTCCCAAAAAAATCAGTCCCCTGCATGAGTTGAACCCATGACCTCTGCGCTTCCAGTGAAGTGCTCTACCAACTGAGCTACCATTTTTTTGGCAGCGATGAATGAACGACTGTGAGTATAGTTTTGAATATCGTACAATTGAACTGCAGATTAAGGAATGAATGTGAGTGATCAATGGTCTTCTACGTACTAAACCATCATACGTATAACAATTATCAAATAGAACTAAGAAAACTGTGTTACCGGAATTTGTTTGTCTGGGCGGATTTGATGGAATCCCTTTTTATAGGTTTCAGTGAGCAAAGACTCTTGATGAATTGATCATGAATTAATGATTGTAATGATGTAGAGATGATTAGGTGAAAAACGACAATCAGGTCGCGGCTAAAATTTCACGAAAAATCTGCAAGGCGAGTGGACAAGCTGTTCGTTAAAACCACATTAATTATCCCAAGCTTTCATTCTATTGCCAAGTATAATTTATTTTGTTACAGCAAGGGAAAATTTCCATCGTAAGTGAATCACTATAGCTTATAAAGGAATTACATGTAAACATCTTTGGCTTGCCTTACCGTTTCTTATCAATAGAAATTAGACATAACTATTAATTCTTGCAAAGGGAAAAGCTTGCTTTAATTAATAAAATTAAAATTCGTAGTGCCATGCGATAAAATTGTGAAGAGCCATTAAGACAATGTTTGGGTAGCCTTGACATTCTTTCCCAAGAATGGTAATTTAAAAAAAAGATTTCCATAAAAAATTAAGCTCATTAAAAGTGGAAGCCACCAGTTTTGGCCAGAAACCATCTGGCAAAAAATCGTGTTAGCCTGAATTGTAAGAGGCCATGTCATAATAAAGTATTGATTTTTTTTTTTTTCGTGTGTTAATGCCATTATTTAAGTCAACACAAAGGAAACAGCTATTCACTCAAACAAGTACAATATGAAAGTTGTTATGTAAACTCGAGTCCTATGATCGTTTACAACCTGACGGTCCTTGAAATCAAACTAAAAAAATATACCTTTTTATGCCTGCTGAAATTCTGAAAACAAAATGGCTCTTGCCAAAATAAAATTAGGAGATTTCTTATTTCAACTTAGTTTCTTCCTACTCTTTGTGCTGAGCGCGCCGTTCTCTCCCCAATGATGAAAACGTGGAAGACGGGCCTCTCGACCTACAGTCGTCATTTTAGAATTCTAGAAAGTTTGGTTTGCTTTTTCCATTCTTCCCTGTTTTTGTTGATGTTGTTGCTTTTTTTTCTTTTTTCTCACAAAAGGCCCTTAGGGCTGGTATTTTAAGCAACATGTACCCATTGTTGAGTAAAATTTCGCCCAAAGCACTCTTAAATTTGAATCAACTTTTTACCTAAGCATTGATTTTTGTAAACAGACGAGGTGGTTTACAGCCTAGTAAAAGAGTTATAGATTTTTTTCAAACAAACGACTTGTGAAGAAGGGTCGATGTCTATTGTGTCTAAAACCGTAGCCTATGTTGAATTTCGGTAAGTTAGACCGTTTAAGGCCCCCAGTCTTTGTTTTGACGTCGAATCTCACGCGCGGCACAACGCAATTTAATAAACCAGGTGATATTTTTTGTCTGTAATCAGGTTATTAGCGATTTTCACGGCGTAAACGAAGATCTAGGCTGAAACCAAGGCAAAAATTGCTTTAAAAAAAAGCGAAAAGGTGTCGAAGCAGTTCCAATAAATTATTCACATGATGCAACGCTTATATTTTGAATTCAAATTACTTTTCACATGAAGTTCATATGTTTGCACATTCTGACACAAAATATGTTAGTTATCGTTTAATTACTACGATGTGACACAATTTTTACAAAAGGTTTTTTCAAGTAGTACCTTTGGTTCAATTGAGTCACTAAGACAACTATTAAAAGCAGATCTTTCCTTTCTCTCTAAAGAGGAGATCCTCTCATACAACGCTCGGTTTCTACTCATTAATTCCTCGTGGGAAAAAACACATTTTCCAAACGCTGTCTTGGGTCTTAGACGTCAAAAATTCGTTACCTCAGATAAACCTAATTTTTATATGAGGTTCTGTACTGAAAAAGTCTTAATTTTATCATGATCATAGTCAGTTTCGAAGTCCTGCGAAAAATGGTTTACCCAAGGGCAAGTTATGCTTAAAACTTCGCCTAAAACATTCTTAGATTATTGCTTTTACACAGGTACATGTTGTTATTGTTGTTCACAGCTTTAATTGCCATGCGAGTTTTAGGTTAATGAACAAATCATAAGAAGGCTTACCTTTGCAATCAGTTTTAATGTCGTTTCGCCCCTTGTCTTTAAGAAGCGTATTGCCAAATCGGATGAGGAATACCCTATGGCATAAATAGAAAAAATTCTGATGAATAAATAATTCGATACTGCTGCATTCAGTGAGCGGAGTTGGCTTAGACCCAGTTCAAACGGCGAACTAAATTGCTTTTTTTCAACCCCAACGGGAGAAGTTACCATATCTTCTTTCTTCTTCTTTTCTTCTTTTAACCCTCCAAGGGAAAAGGCTCTGCCGACATCCTGCTGTTTTTTTTGAAATGCCGAAAGCTCAAAACTCCGGGCTGCTCAAGCCGGTTTTGCCTCCAATCAAACCGGTTTTGGTGCGCACGCCTTTGTTTTTCATGTAAACAGATGACCAAATCTGCGCCCACAATAGTTTAAGGGGGCGTGGAAAAGGATCATTTTCTAGGCAACCGCCGCGCATGTTCAAACGAGCAACAACAGGATGTCGGCAGAGCCTTTTTCCCTTTTCGATTCGAGGACGGGTTAAAAAGGCTCTGCTCGCAGGGTAGGGCAAAGGTCTATCGTTGGATCAAACGCGTCGAAAATAAATCATCGAATCAAACTCAGAGCAGCAGAAACAGCGGGATTACAAATAAATCAATTTGTATTTTATTCATGAAGTTCTTTTCATGAAAAGATCGATGTTTGTCACTCAGTGGATCCTCATACGTTGTGTCCTTCCGAAACAGATGGACAGGACGTGATGGTCGATTCAAATCAAGTTGGGCAAACTCAACTGATTCAAACGTTCAACTTCACATTAACTTTTAAAATTGTCTCAGTACAGTTTATGTCATGTGAAGTTTGACATTTTAACTGGGCATTAATGTCAGAAAAAACCAATCCAAGTGAGTGAAACAATGAAACGTCGAGTACGTCACAAAGATAAAGAATTACAATAAAGATTGTCAGTGTTTGTTAACTGAGACATTCACTAGAAATTTCGCCGACAAAGAACTGTCGAAATATGGCAGCCGTAACAATGCCAATAGTCCATTTTACAGTTGTGTGCTTGGTTGCCAAGCCTTTGAACGGGAGTGAGGCTAGAGATGACCTTGTTGTGATACAAACCTTGCTG